CAGATAATAAATAATGTGTTTGGCAACTTGTTTGGGAATCTAGAAAGTTGTATTTGGTAGAACTTGAAATTTTGTAAACCGGAGATCGGGAAATCAATCAGTTTTAACTGATCATTATGGTTTTCGTTAAAAAAAAGATAGTATTTATTTACAAAATGAATGAGATTTTGAAATCATAGCTCATCCATAATTGGTCTGGCAAAATTGACAGTATAGATCACATAAGTTACTTATAGTTCACAAGTATATCTCCTTTCATCGTTCCCTTCACAGCATCTATACCATGTGTCATTATCACATTCTTATCTTCTTCTTTTTTTCTCTAAACATTTTTATTATATATCCAGGTACCTTCTCACTCAATTAAATTACATGCCTTGGTTTCATTTCCAATTTTTTGTGTGAAGTTCTCTCTCCATTAAATAAGATCTTTTTCTCTCAACTTGAGGACACTTCTCAACATATGTGCAAATCTTGATGATATTGCTCAAGAGACTAAAGAGATATTCAAGAAAATGGTAAAAGAATAGCTCATGGCGCTGTGAATTATTCGACCCAATTCTATTTGCTTTTGTCTATTAAGCCTTTTTTTCTTGGCCATCCGCATCCTTTTTGCAAAGATCAAAGTTGCAGTCACTCATCTTAATGTTGGGTGTCCCATCCCATGTTGGGAGGGTACGAATGGAATTGTCCTAGTTAAATGGCAAAGATCAAAGTTGCAATCTCTCCTCTTAATGTTGGGTGTACCATCCCATGTTGGGAGGGCACCAATGGAATTGTCCTAGTTAAATAGTTAATATGGAAAAGTGGAAAAAAATGTAGATAGAGATAGATTACCTTTTAGAAGGTTATCGATACACTTTTAAATACGATAGTTATCAATTGGCTTATATACAAAATAAAAAAAAAAATGTAGGAGATATGGGTGGTTGACTCATTTGGGTGTATTGGAAAAAATACATGGAGCTTATTTGGCATAAAAGAAGAAGAAAAGAGAGAAAGTCATCCTTCTCCTAGAGGGCGAAGACGAAAAGAGAAAGAGATATCATTTTCTTTTAGAGAAAGAAAGCATCTAAAAAGAAAAGAAGCTTAGAGAGAAGATCCTCAAAAAAAAAAAGCCTTTGAGAGAGAAGATCATCAGAAAAGAAAACCTAGAGAGAGAAAGTCTCTAGAAGAAAGTCGATAGCCTAAGAAAGGTTGTTTCTTGGAAGACCATTTAATATGTAAAGTTTAAAGTGTATTTGATCTCTTTCTCCTGTGAACGTAGCCGAAAAAGGTGAACCACGTAAATCCGATACGAGCAATATTTATTTCTTTATTTTTTTATTGTTTGTTTTCCCACTCAAACACACACACACATCGACTTTGACATATTTTATGTTCCATATCCTGTTTCTACGGTGCATATCCGCATTTGTGCGAGAGAGCTCGACTGGGTGAGCCCAACACTTAAGTTATTCTTTAATGGGTTTTTACTGGAAAAGACTTGCAAAAGGCCACATTACTAGGCTCTCTTCTTTCAGAGCCTTCTCTTAAAAACCCATTTTCATTGATTTCCATCTCTAATCTGAACATATCCCTATTGAACCTAAGAGAAAAAAAAATAGTCTAAAACAAGAAATTGGTTGTTCCTTTCATTGAGCTTCAATAACCTATGGGCTCGTATAATCTTTTATATGTTTGTGTGTGTGCATGAGTGTGTATGAAGGAAAAATTTTAAATGATTCTTTCCACGTCCCCCCATTCAAAAATAAATAAATAAATGCACACCCCTGAAAAATGCCACAAAACCATCTACAACCCTACATCAAATATTTTTTTCATTTAATTTTTCAAATAGTATGCTCTCTATGGGTTTTTTGGACCATCCAAACAAGACCTAAAATCCATCATCATCATCCAAACCTTATTCCAATGATTTAGGGTTGGCTACGTGAATCTTATTCATCAATTCTTCTCTATCAAGGGCTATATCCTCAATAAGACCAAAAGCCATAATATTTTTTCTCACAACTTCTATCCATGTCCTTTTCGGCATTCTCCTTGTCTTTTTAGAACCTTTCACTTGAACCAAATTGTATCTCCTAATCGACATTGTATTAGGTCTATTATGCACATGGCCAGCCCATCTAAGCCTATTTTCCTTCATCTTATTGTATATTGAAGCCACACTTAAATTCCATTGTATTTATTCATTCTGAATTATATCATTTCTTGTTTTTCCATTCATCCATCTGAACATCCTCATTTCATTCATGTTCATCTTATAGATATGTTATTTCTTGACTGCACAACATCTCGTCCTATAAAGCGTGCCTGATCTTATAGCCGTCCTATAGAACTTTAGTGCGATAATCACATAAAATTTCTAATGCACATCTCCATTTCGTCCCACCCAACTCTAATTTTATGTGCAATATCTTTCTCAATCACTCCATTCTCGTAGATCAGCAATCCTAAATATCGAAAACAATTTTTTTTAGATATTTCTTGACCATAAATATTAACTATTTCCTTGTTTCTACTCATATTATTATTAAACTTACATTCCATATATTTTTTCTTAGTCCCGCTAACTTTAAAACCTATAGATTCTAGAGCATTCATCCAATATTTTAACTTTACATTGACGTTGCGTCTAATCTCATCATTCAAATAATGTCATCCGTGAGCAACATAAACCACAGTAGCTCATCTTGCAGGTGCCTGGCTAACTCGTCCATAACCAAAACAAAGAGATATGGGCTCAACACTAACACTCACAATAGGCCCATTGTCACTGAGAACTCATTGTCTCTCCGTTTGTTGTCGGCACATTAGTTAGCACTCCCTCGTATATATCTTTTACTATATCAATATAGCCTCTGGCAACTCCTTTTTTTTTCCAACACCCACCAAAATAAATCTCTAGGTCCCTTATCGTATGTTTTTTTTAAATCTATAAAGACCATATGGAGATCTTTTTCTTTCACCATAAGTTTTTTAATCAGTTGCCTACGTAGGAAAATGACATCGATAGTTGATGTCCCTAGTATAAAATAGAACTGATTTTCTGATACACTTATTTTCACATCTTAGTCATTGCTCAACCACTCTCTCCCACATCTTCATAGTGTTGCTTATAAGTTTAATCCCTTGTAGTTCATGCAATTTTGTACGACTCTTTTGTTTTTATAAATAGGTACCACAATATCTGTTTTCTTTATTTATCTAGTATTTTCTGTGTTCTCAACACTTTGTTGAACAGCTTGTCTCATTGCACTCCCAAACCTCTATCAAGATACCCTTTCTTCAAGCTTCTTTCACTTTAGATATCTAATCCTGCAGATGTAACTGTGACATCCCCCCTCATTTATGTCAAAGATTTCTCCTAATGTTGTGTTCCGATAGTGTTCGTCATTTAACAATTTTTTAAAATAAATTCTCCACCTTTCGTTGACCTCGTCATCTTTCACTAGGATCCTCTCATCTAATGCATCTAATGTGGTCTAGATCCTTATACTTCATCTCTCTTATTTTTGCTAGTTGTAGATATATTTTGACCTTCTATTGTCTGTAGTTTATTATATAGATTATCATATACTTTAAATTTAGTATTATTTATTATTTTTTAATATTTTTCTTAACGTTTTATTTTCTTCTAAGTTTTGATCATTTCTATTACATTGTCAAGTTTTATAATATTATCCAAGCTCCACATTTTTTTTACATTGCCTAAAATCTAATTATAAAAATTAAAATTAATTTGCATACATGAACATCATTTTTCCTCATAACTCAACCTAAAATATTTTTTTACTAAGTTAAATGAAACTAATATTATAGCCATGAAGGACATTTGTTTCACACTGCCCTAGAATGGGACCCCCATATTTTCTATGGGTGTAGAAATCTATCTAAGTCATACAAAAGTGAATTTGAAGCTCTTAAAATGGTGAAAATTCGACGGACCTTGCTATGAAAATTCGATGGACCTTGGCTATTTTGAAACGAGTAAGATTGACCAATTTTAGGGTTTCAAGATCTAATTTTTAGAGAAATATAGCCATGGAAGAAAAGGGGATGTGTTTGCAAAGTTTTGGATTCTCAGTACATCACCTATATGAATTTTTGAAGTGAAGCCACATGCAGCCAAGGCTGCGCCACAATCTTTTTTGAACATGAAATCCGAAGACAGGGTGCGTAAAAGTACAGGCTATACTCCACATTTTCTCGTTAAACGTGGGAAGAGTTATATGTGGTGTTTTTAAAACCAGACATATTTTTATCCACTCGCCAATTTGGATGGGAATCAATCAGACCGAACCGATTTGGAATGGTAGGAGTCCCGACCCAATTCGTTTTAAAAGGCCACTCTTTTATTTATATATATATATATATATATATATCCATGTTTTTTTTTCTTCTTTTTTTAAGCTTATCCAACGTGCACTGAGGTCCCCTTAAATCCCACCCCAAAAGCCTTATTTTTATTTTTATTTTATTGTTATTTATTTTAATTTTTTTTGGAGAATCAATTCGGATCGATTTGGACCCTTTCTGGATCTCCAATCGAGCAATCCAATACGAATTTATGGGGCACCAATGGAGGTTTTAAAACATGACTTGAATTTTTTCAAGAACATCTCTGACTCGGATCAATTTGAAAGCAAAAAGCAGTTTTGAGCTTCAAAACACTACACCTAATTGTCCCTCGAATGGAGAGTCCAAAATAAATATGTAGAGGACTTAAACTGGAGTATGCAGTAATTCATTTTGGAGCATTTAGCTTACAATCTACTCTTTTTTTCTTTTCTTTTATTTGCTATATCAATGCCAGCGATGAAGAGAGATGGTAAAAAATAAGCGCCCGCGATGCTGCCTCGCACCAAAATCCTGCGGGATCACCAAATCCTACTCTACGGAAAACTTCACGCGAGTCACTGTAGCACAATTGGAACGAAAGTGGAAGATAATCTATCTAACAAGCAAAATAGTAGCCGGATTTCCCTCTCTCGTTCAATCGACGTCAAAGTGACGCCTTGCTTGAAGCTTGTCCGCTGACCATGTGGAGAGAGAAAGAGGAGAGAGAGGAGATAAACATGACTGAGAAAAGAGCGAGTAAATAGAGAGAGAGAGAGATAGAGACACAGGGGAGAATGAAAAACTAGATAGAGGAAAGAGCGAGAAAATAGAGAGAGAGAGAGAGAGAGGTGTGGCCAAATATAATATTCGAGATCTAAAGAGAGAAAGGGGAGGCGGCAGGGTAATTATATTTAGAAAGTTAGAGAAAGAAAGAGGGGGGTTGGTTGCAGAAACAGAGTCCAAAAGGAGAAGGAAACAAGACGAGAAGGGCCGAATATCGAGCCTATGGAATCCTAGGATTGAATTGGACATGTTGAACCTCCCACCCTTCTTCTTCTGATTCAAAACCCTAATTTGTTGTTTCCTCAATGGACGTCCTCAATAAGCTTCGGCACCTCGATGCTTACCCTAAGATCAACGAAGATTTCTATAGTCGGACCTTATCAGGAGGCCTAATCACGATATTCTCATCCATTTTTATGCTCTTGCTCTTCTTCTCTGAGCTCAGTGAGTGATTTTGCTCTTTGGTTATGGATTCTGGTTTTTTGGGTGCAACGGCTGAGATTGATTTATTGAGTTCAGAGCGTTTTTTGTGGATTGGGGTTTAAGAATTCTATATATTTTGTGTTTGTTTATTTTCCAGAGGAATAATGGAATGACATTGTTAGGTTGGATAAGCTTTTGTTTTTGGGAATGATTTCCAATTCATGCTTTTGGGTTTTCTCTTTTATGTTGATTTTTGGAATTTGTGGAAGAGTAGGAAACGTATTCATGATTTAGTACAATTCAATTTAGTTTTTGTTCAGATGCATCATAATGATTTCTTGTTTAATAAATGCTTTCCTATTCTCCTCTTTTTACTTCGGCCTTTCTTTGAAATTCCTCTTACTTATAATTAGTCACATAATAGATTAAAACTAGAATCTGAGAGTCATATAGTAGCTTATGATTAGAATCTGATTGATGGATAGGAAGAATTTTTGGGTCGTTTCAGTAGAGATCACATTTGATTGCATAATGCAATCAGGTTACGTATTTGCTTATATTTTTTACCTAGTTTTTTAGGGGAAGATCCTACCATATTTAGTTGGGTACCTGCTTCAAATATCTGAAAACTGATTACTGAGGAAAGGGGCTGATGCCATGGTGGTAGCACACCCCATACCTCAGTTGCACTTTGTGGCTTCCATTCCCATTAACAGCTTGAAAACTACTGGCTAATTCAAAAAGGGGTAGGGGCCTGTCATCCCCACTGAATTACCCAAAACTCAGTTGCATGTTGTGGCTTCCATTCCCATTGACAGCTTCAAAACTACTAACTAATTAAAAAATGGGTAGGAGCCTGTCATCCCCACTGAATTACCCAAAAAAAAAAAATGATTACTGGGCGCAACTTCTACTTCCAAATTGGGATTACTTTGTTGTGATTCCAATGTGGGAAAACGTACTTCCATCTATATTATTTGAGGAATATTTCACATCATTTTTATGGATGTCACCTTAATATCATGTCAACCCCCAAGTCTCCAACCCATTCATAGGATGATCCTTATGGCCATGCTCTTTCCATGACTATGTGGACCCCTAAATATATGGATGAGTTAGCGAATTTTTATTGTGTTATAGGTGGCAATGGGTCTCTGTTGGTTCCTCCCACTGTTTAAGTAATAATTCTTGTGTCTTTTATGCTATTGATGACAATAAGTTGCTGCTGATTTGCCCCACTTGTTCTAGTGATAATTTCAGGTATATTACGAAAATCGACAAGGACAAGTAGTTGTATAACAAATAAGTAGTGATTTTGTATATCTTCTTTTCGGTATTGTCTTAAACACAACAAAACCCATTTCACTTATATCCCGTCTTTGTTTCTGGTGCCCATGAAAGGAACTTGAATAGATTTGAACAAGTTGGTTTGGAGTTACAGGATCAATATCATTTAACTATTATGACATGTTATCTGTTACTTGTATAATATTGCAAGAGTTGATGTACTTAAGTGTCTAATGTAATTGTTCCTACTATACAATAGAATGGAAAGAAGAGGAGCAGAACATTGCAAGTATAGCATTCTTGGTTTATCACATGTCTGTTAGGAGATTAAGATCTCAACTTTGGGGTGGATTCCTTTGGAGTCCCAAAGAGAGGCATATTCTCTCAATCTTTCTTTAGTTTTGTTTTCTATTATTTTGTCTGTCACTTCTCCCCAAATCATTTGGTATCAGAGCCTTGGTTCCATACAGCGGGATGCTATAGGAAACATCTGTGAATCCATTTTTAGAGCAATTATTGGTACTAGAACTACTCTGCAATTGGCATATTAATGGAATACTATGAAGAGGAAGATAAAAACTCATCCTCCAATCCAAACATTAATCAAACATCACAACAAGCTCCCTAAGTTGAATTGGTTCAAAGGCATGTAGTCCAAGTGGTGGAGAGTGCAAGAAAATTTGGCATTGCTGCCGGTTTCCTAAGATTACATGGCTTAATTTGCATATCTAAATTTTGTTGGATTATGTTCAACAATTGAGAGTTTGATGGGAGAATTTTTGGTTGTCACAAAGCAGAGAAGACAGAGAAGGAAGATTTTCAAATTCCTTAACCTCAAGCCCAAGCTATTCCTAACCCTGGAGAATGTACTTAACGTTAACTTTTTTATGTGGTTAGGATTTATTTTTTAGGAAACAATAGAGTTAGATTGATTTTGATGTTGTAGAGATTTTAAGGTGTTTAGGTCATTTGGAATTGTATTTTGTAAGGGCAATTTGGGTGTAGTTTATATAAGGTGGAAACCTTGTAGAAGTAAGGTCGAGACGTTTTACACCGTCCATTTTAGTTGGACAATGTAGACTTGACACATTTTCTAAGCCAATATAAACAAGGGACACATCTTTTAAGATTGTGTCAAATCTACACCGTCCAAATAATATGAATGGTGTAGATTACTACAACCTTACTTCTACTTGCAAGGTTGCAACTTTAAAAAACTTTTCCCTTTATTTTTTTTCTTTTTGTTGATAAATATATGATCTACTATAAAGAGAAGGACAGGAGAAATTTTTTTTTTTTGGGACTTTTGAAAAGTTAGTTTAGGATGGATTCCCTTGTGAGGCTCGAGATGAAGCCTAATATCTCAACTTTGGGGTGGATTCTTTTGTAAACTCTGAGAGAGGGTATATTCTCTCAATATCTCTTTATTTTTATATGTTATTTTGTTCATTCTCTTAAATCAATGATGTTCTTTAGGTTGTAATGACTCGATTTGTTTGTCCACTTCTTTACTAATGACATGCCTTCGAGCACTATGACATACATGTGCTTTTTGGTTTGCAATTGCTTTTTAGTATCTAGCTCTCTGCCACATTACATAAGAAAGAAATCATCTACACATTCATATTTGTTTTGTTTGTTCTTTTTTGATGGTTACCTGCTACTAGTTTGTTTCTAAACACATGGGGTAATTAAGGAAACTTCCTCTACAAATACATGGTAATGCTGAATACACAGAGGCCAACATATAAGTCAGTGTACCAAAAAACAACGGCGGTGCCTAGGCTGCCGGGGGTCCAGGCCACCCAACGCCTAGGTGGCCGCCTAGAACTTGGGCGGCCCAGTAGAATAAAAACCATGGGATATCTAACTAACTGTTTTAGGGTCAGATTTTGTGTAAAAAATTCGAAAATACATATTGAGACATATAACACATAATACATAATATATAGTCCATTTACAACTTACTAACCATAATTGCATACATTTCAAATTCAAAAATCAAAGTTCAAACTTCAAACCATTAGACATTAGAGTATTAGTACCATACTACCATAGTCCATTCCATAATCCAAACTCCATGTACTCCATAGTTCATACACACAGTAAAAATTGGAAAATATAATCCAAGACAGCATGACATCGAACTTCAAACTTCCACCTTTGAGAAGTTTTCCATTTTCAAACTATTCTAAAAAACCCTCTAATAGCCCTAAAAAATCTCCAAAACTAAATCTAATTCAATGGGTGATGTTTGGATCGATTTCTTGTCACTTTGAGAAACCCTTCGATCCTATGAAAACCTCAAAAATGCTAAGATTTTTGAGGTTTTTCTCTCTCTAAAATGGTTCAAATGGGTTTTAGGTTGGATATGAATTTAAACATCAAACTTCCACCTTTGAGAAGTTTTCCAATTTCAAAATATTATAAAAAACCCTCTAATAGCCCTAAAAAAATCTCCAAAACTAAATCTAATTCAATGGGTGATGTTTAGATCGATTTCTTGTAACTTTGAGAAACCCTTCGATCCTATGAAAACCTCAAAAATACTAAGATTTTTGAGGTTTTTATCTCTCTAAAATGGTTCAAATGGGTTTTAAGTTGGATATGAATCTAAACCCCTTATCTTAAAAAAAAAAAAAAAAAACCAAAAATGCCCTTCAACAAGGATAATCCAGCAGGGCTAGGCGTTGGGCGCCCGCCTAGGTTAGGGACAGTCCACCTAGTTTGCCCGCCTAGACTTGGGCGATGCGCCCAGGCCTCCGTGGAGGCAGGCCGCTTTTTGGAACACTGATACAAGTATTCAAGGCCCGAGCTGGTCCACTTATGTGCTTTATATGAAATTTTGGATCTCTTGTAGTTCTTTGAATGCAGTTGGTCAGGATTTTAGATTTTGAAAACTTTCTGTTTGTGGTCTACTATCTTAAAGCATATTAGGAACGACATATATATTGACTTTTCTTTCTTTTTTTTTGGTAATATGGGATGCCCTTGCATATGATGAATGCATCCTGAGGTCCTTAGAAAAGTGAAGATCCTTTATTTGCGAGCTCTTTAGCGCTAAGAGCTACGTCAAGGTATTGGAAGGCCTCTGCTTTGTTCTAGCTTCCTTTGTAAGATGCAGCAGTATTACACTAAAAAACTTTCAGAAGCTGGGAAGTGTTTTTCTTCATAAGGGTCTTTGCCTTTTGCAATGGGTTTTGGATACTTTCTTGTGCATAGGCTAGTTTGTTTCATGGCCTTTATACTAGGTTTGTGGTTCCTTGTTGGCATTTTGATTGAGTCAATCATGTCACCATTGATGTCTAGTTATTATTTTAAGGCTGGACTATTCTCCTTTTCGTACATATTGTCTATCTATTGAAGGCAATGCTTTGCATATTGAATATATGAGGACTTATCCATAAAAAAGGAAAGAAGAAATAGAATGCTCTTTCTGGAGTTTTGGAATACTTTATTTATCCAAGGAGCATTCTTTTGATCCATCTTACTAACTGATAATTTCTATTTTAATGTTTGGTGATTTTGCTCCTTGAGATTTGCTTGTCCTCTGAGTCTTTCCTGTTACGATCAATGTGATGGACTGATTTTGTCCCTATGTGTTCCAAACATTTATGTTATCTATGGTTTATTTTACATTCAATCAACTATTCATGTATATCATTAATCCACTTCATATGGAGTCTTCGAAGTGTTGGATTTCCTTGTAACTTTTATTTTCTTGTCGCCTAAAATGTTATCCAAACACTAGTTATCCTCATTCTCTTATGTTGTTTTCTTTATTGTTGCAGGATTGTATCTTCATGCAGCTACAGAAACTAAGCTGATGGTAGATACTTCAAGAGGTGAAACTCTTCGTATCAATGTAATATCTTGTTTTCCCTCCTTGTAGTACCTTACTGTCTTGTTGAATATACGGTTTCAGTATACTTGGCTAGCTTTGTCTAGTTTGATAAGAAATATGTGACCATTGATTTGTTCAGAATTGCTTAAGATCTCTAGCTCAGTTATAGATGTCAGATAATATTGGAAGGATCCAGGAGCTATTTTTTATTATTCTTTGTTATTCTTTTAGCATTTAGAAATTTCCTCTTTCCCTTTTTTCTCAATTTCTTGCTTGTTTTACTCTTTTTTTAATTCTAAGTTCAGAAGTTTGCGTATATTGTGAATGGTTGAAAGACCATTTAACATATTTCTGAAATGTAATCTTCTAGTTTATTTCTGTCATAATCCTCCAAATATCCATTGTATTGAAGTTTTGATTATGCATTCTTATGCTGGTAACTACTTTGGCTACTTTGTCATAAAACTGCTTGGGAATCTTTTAGTTCAAAAGTTTGCCTTTTGCTGCATTTGGTTGATGTTGAACATTTGGGACTTATTTCCTATTGTTGCTTTTATGACAACTTTTGGGCTGCCATAGGTATATTCATCGTCTGGCATTCCATTATTTGTCGATTTGTTCTTTGGTGTAAACTTTCGTTCTGGATTTCAGTATCATTTTTATTGATTTGATGATTGGGTCCTTTTTTTTTTTTTACAGTTTGATGTTACTTTCCCTGCACTTCCATGTTCGATTCTCAGTCTCGATGCTATGGACATCAGTGGAGAGCAGCACCTTGATGTGGTAAATAGAATTATAAATCAAAAGGATGGCTGATTATTTGAGTTGATGGACATGACATGGTTATTTGAGTTTATTTTTGTAAAATTCATTAATTCTACACTACATGGTTATTTGAGTTGTGGACATTGTGACTACCATGTACAAGCAGATAAAATGAGAGTTTTGCATTTTATGTTGGATAGGTTAGTTTGTCTTCTACTTGTTAATTTGTGTTCTGTGCCTTTTCTTTGCAGAAACATGATATAATAAAGAAGAGGATCGATGCTCATGGTAATGTAATTGAGGCTAGGGCAGATGGAATTGGTGCACCGAAGGTCGGTACTTGGCTACCTTTTGTGTATCCTGGAGGAGCTATCTAACATTTTGTTAAAGTCTTTGGTTTAGAGTGTGCCACGGTGATCCATACTTTCTTCATTTTCAGAAGTTCAAATAGTACTCCGTCTGGTTCTGACCAAAGTTGAGTCATTAACATTTGTTTGAATAAAAATTTAAGAATTAGGATTGGCTAAAGACATCTGAGTACTTAAAACTCAGCCAGCACCTGATTTGAGATGACTCTACCTAGTCCCAAGTCTAGTGGGCGTGGTTTTAGCCAGTGATTGTTGTATATTTTAAGCTACTTATTTTATTACCTATTACAAGGGAGCATGGTTTGCAAAATCCCCCTATCTAACCGTTAACCGCCTGCTTAGATCGGAACCGGCCGGTTCCGGTTTTGGGCGATTAGGGTGATCAACCGGTATTTAAAAAATTAAAAATTAAAAAAATTGTATATAAATTCTCAAAAATAAGGAATTTGATTTGTAATGCATTTTTAAATATTCTTTATATCATGGTAAAGATTAAAAATTTTGGTTATTAATACTCAATGTTACATTTTCCCATCTTTTTTAGAAAATTTTAAAAATAGCCCTTGAAAAATATAAAATAGGTTAAAATCCATTTTTTTCATTAATTTTCAACTTCATTTGAATTTGTTTTGTTTTAATCCTTCTTTCTATCGTTTCATATTTTAGAAGATTTTTTTGTATTTTTTTTTATTTTTTTTCAACACTTTTTTTATTGCTCAGGACTTGCCCGGTTAGAGCGGTTGAATCGGCCGGCTTACCGGTTAGGCCGGTTAAACCGCTTCCAGGCCCATGTCCGGTTAACTGTTCCGGTTCGATTTTGCGAACACTGCAAGGGAGTTGTTATGCTCGAGTCATTGTGTTTCTACTTCTTGAACCATCATGCAGCATGTTATGTTGTGTTTCTTTGCAATAGATGTACTACAATACAATATTAAGGCTTGCCTTGTAGCCGAAAGTCAAAACAAGCAACAGTTCAAAAATTCGGATTCCACTGCCTAGGCAAGCGGCTAGTGTTCACGCTGCCTAAACAGAGAGGAGGGGGAGTTGGGGCCATAAATATGCTGTTGGGTTTGGGTTTAGATACCAAATTGTGTATCAAGTATTAAAAAAAAAAAACCTATTTTGAGATGTTTTTTGTGTTATTGTGTTGTACCATTTTCAAACTCATGCAGACATGCGTTTGAAACTTGAAATTGAATTATGGAAACTTTAGAATGTTGAAACTTGCCCAACATTGACTTTTTATTGATCATTAAATAGTGACATAAACAATATGTCATTACATGCCAATATGCCATACTCAGCCCATATTTCACAATCCGCACCAACCACTATATACCAGAAATAAAGTCACAAAAGTCAAAACTCAAGACTTCCATTAATCCAAATTTCAAAGTGAGTTTCATCATCAACTCCTCCACCCTTAGCACCAGGAATACCACCATCTCCATCTCCACGACCACCACCAGCTGCATCTAAATTTAATGATGATGCCAAGTCATCATTATCAAAGCCATCCTCTTCCACATATTGCTCTTCTTCCTTGGTCTCCTTTGAGTCAGCCTATTCATCCTCATCCTCCTTCGTCACTCTCCTAATCGTCTTCTTTTTAGATTAATATCTTGTAGCCCACACAGGGCGCAATGGGATTCCAGCAGCCACGCAAACTTGGCTTCAACTCGAACTCTCATTAGGGAAAATCGGATCATCTCTAGCACTGACTAACCATTCACCAAAATCATCCATGTGTGTTACAAAATTCACCAAAGTCATCCATGTGTGTTACGAAATTCACCAAAGTCATCCATATTACAAAATGGGGTCAACACCATCAATTTGATGGCCCTCTTGATGGCTCTCATTCAGCCTCATTTTATGCTGAATGTAACAAGATTGTTCAGTCTCTTTTGCTCAAGCTTGTTTCTGTTGGCCAATACATGAGTGCGTGATTAGCTCTTAAAAAAATATAGGGCTTGGAGCTGCCCTAAACAGGCAAATGATCATAGGACTTTGGAAGTTTTGAGTAATAGGAGACTAGGGCAAATGGACAATGAGATAGTTAATAAATTTGCCTCAAATGTGCTAAGGTTGCACTCGCAACTAGATGTGCTGCAAGTCAAACTCAAAATGCGTATGTCCATCTTTTCCAAATGCTTGACACTTTCTCTCTGTGTGGCCACCATGGAGCTACACTTTATTAAGAACACACAGAGTATGTAAGTATTCTTAGTTTAGATTGCACTATGGTGATTTGTACTTTTATCTTTTTAAAAAGTTCAAAAAATAGGATAGATTTACTACAAAAAAAGTAAGTTTTGTACTTACATGGATAGATCTTGTCATGTGCTTATTGCTATATGCATGCGAAGTGACTTCGTTGAGAATCTATACTTATCCAACTCAAATGACAGTTGGTCTTGGATGTCTGGCTTCAAGTTTGAGTCTCATATGTTGCTCAATTTGAATGCGTCCATGATCCAACCCATAGATTCAATCTCATAATCACTTTAGAAATACGCAGGGTTGGTATAAAACTATGCTGCACACGAGGACCTCTGCAGCTGGCTATTCTATTTATCTTCCACAATATTCAAAATGGGTATTTTCTTTCATCATGGCCAAAGCACTTCGTGATGTCTTCCTTGGCAGCCTCTATTGCATTGTAAATATGACCCACTGGTAGTTCCTTCTCACCATTCCCCATGCGGAATCCTTCACCGTTGGGTTGAAAACTTGGAGGGGGTAAACAACCGCATTTCAAAACCGAGGTTGAAAAACAATCTCAGCTCCTCTCTTCCCCTTTGCATGCTTGGGCCACTTGCTTTGGGTCCGTTCTTTTCAGTGAGAAATATGCTCTTATACTCGTCTTTCTGGGTGCTTATACTCGAAAATGGGGTGTCTACACTGGGCCAGTATAGACTGCAACGACAAATACAAAATAGCAAATCTTTTCACCCTTGACCTCACTACATTGTTTATGTGAACTTCATCGTGGCGAAGACCTGGCTGTGGTTGTATATAATAAACAATGTGATGACTGTCTTTCTTCATTGTATCCACCCCCTTCAACTTGCTTACTGCCTGAAGCATGAGTTCAATGCAGTACACCGTGCAGTGTTCAAAAAATGGTGAATTTTCACCACCACTACATTAGCAGCCGCTATATTGACTGCAGCCATATCAGTCGCTATTTGTATCACATTTTGTTCACCCAACTTCTGTGTACGTTAATCTACTAAGCTAAGAATAAAATGTGCATCATGTATGCGCTTAGATGCATCAATTGACCTCGAAAACATTGTCTTCATTGGACAATTCACCCCAAATTACATAATACTTTTCATCCTCCTATCAGTCCATGTGTCTGTCATTATTGTTACGCTACTTCCTCCATACATTCTTGTGGGATTCATGTATTCATTTGTGAACCTCACATCTTTATTTAGTAAGGACTCCATGAGCTCATAAAGTGTAGGTGCCTTCAGCCATGGCCCAAACTGGCCCACTGCTTCCAATATTGTTTGGAAGCTCTTCAAGCTGGTGACATTGGGGGAATTGCTTGCTCGATATATTCTTCGGGCTATGTACTCACACACCCACCCGACCGCCCCTATCTTCATTAAAGAAGGTCTATATAGTAGTCTGCCCCTTTTCTCAAACCGCAGCGTCGGAAGTAAAATTGGAACCTATAGCCCTTTTTGCTCGAGCCCTCTTCAACCCAAACCCCCAATGCCTGGTACTAAAGCCCACAGGCTCCCCTTTCTCAGCAAATATATCTTCTTCTTCTACTACTTCATAAACATCAAGTGATCATACAATATCATCATTTTTTTTTTCTTCTTGTCATCTTTCTTCCTTTTGGCCGATCTTAAATTGGCCAACATCTACTCTTTTCATCAGGCTACATTCCCCTCTTTAGCCTATCATATCTTTCTTGAGTCCATTTATGCTGGCATAATCCCACTACAAATTAGCATTTCACCTTATTCTTGTCATTTTGGTTGGGTAACATTGCATATTTGCAACCCAAGCCAACTTACCTATTTGATCCCAGAAGACAACATTGTCACCTACTCAACAAACAACCATCCCAACATGAAAAATGCACAGAACGGCCAAAAAACCTAATCTTGAATGAATATACTGGAAGTATTGGATACAACAAGGCGAACTAAAGTATTGAATAAAGTAACCCCAATCCTGGAAAATGTGGTCAGGAAACCAAAATCAAGTATTGAATAATGTAACGGAACCTAAAACAGTATTTAGTACTTTACAAACTGAAAACTAGAGTAGATCACCACACAAAAACATAATAACTGAAATATTGGTAAAATTGTCTAAAACCAAACCAGGTATTAAGTAGTAGTAAATAATTTACAAAACTCAAGTATTGATGCAAACTCAAGTATTTATTTAATTTGCAAGACTCAAGTGTTTAACCTAGGATGCAACAAATCAAACTCAAGTATCGAATAAAGTAACCCAACCTAGAAAATATTTAACAATATACAAAAGGGATTGTATACAATTGAGACCATATACCTTTGATACAAGGAGGTCACAATTACTTGTAACCATTTGATATGAGATCTGATAGCTTGGGTGTGTCACAAAATTCGAGAGAATTTCTTTTGAACTTTGAGCTTGGTCAATGGAATAAATGAAGTCAGCCAATTTCATATTCAATGTTCAAGATTAATTATGACTTCCTTGTGCCAATGGTAAATGGTCTCATTGTGTACTTTTCCTTCAACAAAAGCAGAAGTAGAAAATCACAAAACAAAAACCCAATCATCCAAATATTGAAAAAAATACTTACGTTGAACCAAATATTAAGAAAAAATCATCAATATATGTTGAAAACAGGTAATAAATTAAAAAAGAGTTATAAAATCTTAATAAATATCAATTAAATCAAACCCAAACCCAATCTTGATAAGGGACAACAAATCCAAAAACCAAACTTCAAGAAAAAAAATACACCAAAACAAAAATCAAAATTGAAAACAAACAAGTGAAAACCCAATGTTTAAAAATATCACCAAACCCTAAACCCAAGATTGAAATGTGCTGATTTTTGGGAAAGTTAATAAATGTTGTTGAGCTTTGGTTGCCGTAACGCCATTTTTGCCACCACTTCAAGTTTCACAAACAATCGGCTTTCATACTTTTCTGCAAAATTGGAAGGTCTGAAAAAAATTTCAATCTTCAAAAGAATATCAAAAAACTTGTTTTTTATTTATTTTCTTTTCCAGAGTCCAGGAAAATATTATTATTATTATTATTTGGTGGAGGTTTTTTTTTTGCCCATAAAGGATTTTCTCTCTCTAGAATCCAAGCAAAGATCTTTTTTATTTTTGGGTGGATTTTTTTTTTGGATGGGGGTGGGGGGTGGAAGCCAGGTTGGGAGGTGTTTAGAATACCCCCCAAAGCCCTCTTACGCCCTTTTAAGAGGAGAAAATGACCTAAACTACCATTGCCAGAGACCCAATTTTCGTCCGTGGACAGGGGCATCAAGGCTCCTATGTTTTGGGAAGAGGCAGGACCATGTGCCAACCAGGCAACTAGTCAGTGCCTCAGCCCAAAAGGCGGGTGCCTTTTGTATTGGGTGCCTTAGGTGCCCCTCTAGGACTAGGCTATACGCTTAGGGTCCTCAACCACCTGGGCAGTGAGTGAGACGCCCATATTTTAAACATCGACAAGTAATATCTCCATTGAGTCACTTATCAAACCAGCGTTCCGACTAGGACTTGGGATAGTTACTTGGGCGAGGCCGAGTTGGGGCGTATTTTATAGCAACTTGTCCTACCCTTATTAAGGAGGAAAAAATATAATAAAAAAAAAGTAGAAAAAATAGGAAAACACCACCATATTATTTACAATTAGTTTTTGGATGATATGATAGTTTTTAAGGTGATTTGGGAACTTCCATATTTTCCCATTTTTTTAAATTTTTCAGAATGTTCAAGATCTAATTCAAAATAACCATCTTTTATAGAGTTTTTCCATCTTTTTAGACCTCTGATGATTTCAACTACCTCTTTTTATGTTCTTTCCTCTTTTATGTACTTTCTTATTTTTAACTTTTTTTTTTTTTATACTTTTTTTTTGGCCTTTTTTGGGGTTGTGTAAGACTCGGTTGAGTACACTGGGAATCGGCCAAATCACTCGGCTTGGCCAAGGGCCAAATCCTTGGCCGAGTTGAGTTTCTGAACTTCGTATGATAGCCCCAAATTGGCATACTTTTTGGGATCTTAATCAGCCTTTATGGTCTTGATCTGTGCTTTGATCTGTGCTATATTAACTTTAACCACTTAAATACAATCTTAATTAACTTTAACCATCTGTGAATTGTGAACCGTTCTAAATATATCAATACAAACTTTACAATCCTCTTGTAATGCATCTTAACATCCCAATGGAAGCCTTGTAATGTGAAGTCATATGCAACCTTCAGCGTGAGGGATTTTTTCCGTGTAGCATGAAACGACCTTCTGACATGAGAAAGCTCAAAACTTTGTCTTTGACCTCTTCTCAGGCTATGCCCTTCCCCAATCCTAGAGACTAGCTGCATGTGGATTTCCTCTCCCAAAATGTGAAACATGAGCTTAAGGCATCCAATTGGAGGGCTGTGACTAGCCAACTATTATGAATTTGCTGTGATCATCCTTGTACTTGAGTGGCCATTTATTGTAAACACTTGGTCACCTAGATGAACTATATGATGAAATGAGAGGGAAGTCGGTATTTTTAAGGAGAATTGGGGACAACTGTACATCTCTGGCTTATCTATAGTTTCCCGTTGAAGAGGTAATGAGAGAAAGTACTTTACATATATTTCGAGAAATGTTGCAAGGGTCACATTAGGAAATCAGGTGAAGCTTTGAAATGTATCTCGACAGAAAAGGCTTTTTCCCCTGTATTGAAAAGAAATAAACAGATTTTCATTGAAGCACATGGCTTATCTGTATGGGGAAAAAAGTATTGGGAATAGGAATACCATTGTTCTGCTTGATCAGAATTCAGAATAATTACAGAAGAGAAAAGACTAACATGGCCTCATATATGTTATTACTGTGTACATAAGTACTGTTTATAGGATTCCTTTTATGAGCAGGTTTGCTTGTTGTTACAACTGGAAAATAAACTCACTTCTTATATTACTTTTTTTCTTTGGTTCTATTTACATTGCACTGGTTGATTGTGTCGTCTATGTATGTGCAGATTGAGAAGCCTTTACAGAGGCATGGTGGAAGGCTTGAACAAAATGAAACATACTGTGGTTCTTGTTATGGTGCTGAAGGGGTATGTTCTCCTACACGGTATTATGCTTACTATGCCTTATGAGCTTAGAATGAAATAGTTGGCTTATGTGATTTTTCTCCGGTTTTCACCAGAGCATGTCCAATTGCTTGCTGTGTTTGATTTCTTAATGATTCTATTTTTACTGGTTACCTATTTGTTTTGATCTTTAATTTATTCTCGGAACTGAAATATGTTTTTTATCTGACAAAAATGCTCAGGAATGCATTACATTAGTAGTGGTAGGTTTCTCATAATAAATTGTAATTGTGTTTTTTTGGGTCCTGCTGTATCATACCATCTCTGAAGAACAGGATGGTACAATTGGCCCCAGAATGATTCCGTACCAGTTTTTACAGGAGTTATAGTGGAATTAATTTCTATAGAGCAAATCAATTGTGAAGGATAGTCTAAGCTATCTGGCAACTGTCACTGATGCACTGCACTAGACCTTTTTTCTAGAAAGCACATCACTCGGCAGAGACCAAACCGCTCCTTAGTGCTGTCCTTTTTGGCCCACTGATTGTCAGAGGTGCTCCTTCAGTGTGATTAGGTGGGTTGTAAGGCTTCTGTGGGATCCTAGAGATAGTTGATGTTAGAAGTTATTTTTTTAGTTGACTAGCCTTTTGGGGATGTCCTTGTCATATATGCATACGCTTACAGAAGCTAATGAGTAGGCATCTTCCGCATCATGGATTACTTGTTAGGTTATCTTAAGTTAGGTTTGAGCAAATTGGAGCACTTCCCATTATTAAGTTCTTTGTATAGGTTGACAATAGAATTGGTCCTGAATGCGGGAACTATGAAACCTAAATTCTCAACCTGAAGGTGGTTCGCTGTAGGAACTGGCCGGTTCCCGATATTTGGTGAGAACTAGACAGGTCCCACCAATTGGCAATTCGGATCGGACAACTCCAATCTGGATTGCTGTTTTTAAAAACCTTGACATGGTGTAACTTCGAACTTTGAATATGGTATACAATGGGCAAACACATTATCTTGTCTACATGGAATACTATATTTGTTAGTGTTTCAAATCTAATTAGGAAGATATATTTGGTGGAGCATGTCTCCTATGCTTATGGATCCAAGAAAAGAAAAAAAAAGTATTGCATGTAGCTGCTGCTATATGAGTTCCTCGATTATAGGCCCTACATAGGTAGCTTAGAGGTCCTGTAGCTCATTTATAAAGGTATCAATGCTCCTGAGTCGTGTGTGGCATTCAAAGAAGCAAGGCTCAGAGCTTCCCTCTTTTGTAGCTGCGACCTAGGTCCTCCATTGGAGAGCTAGCTACTAGGAAAAAGACTGTCACCATGTATCTTGAGAGAAGTCCCTTCCCACTATCTCATTACTTGGCCTTGCAGCTTCTTGTCCTTTATTTGCATGAATGTTTTAGATCTAAAGACTGACAAGTTGTATTCCGGTGAAGAGAGCCCCAGTTGGGCAGCTTGTCTAAGCTGGTGGCAAGGTGTTAAAAGTAACACCAGGTGATTAGCTGCATGCTAGATTTCAGGAGAGTCTCTTTCTTCTTTGTTATAATAATGTTTGACGGGTGTCTTATTCAGGTCTTGTTTAGGTGCATCTGTGGAATGTTTACCTGTTCTATGATGAATCTTTATTGATTGGTAGTTCTTTATTTTTTGAAGAAAGGTCTATGTGATTGGTAGTTCTTTATATTGTGTGCTAAAAAACATGGTCATAACCAATGGTTTAAAAACCGGATAGGTGACCCGGATCGGGCTTTCCAAAAACCGATCCGGATCGGTGAATCGGCGATCCGGATCGGAATCGGGTGAATGGGTCAGAATAAAGC